GTTCTCAAAATTTCAGCTCCGTACAATAGTACTGTCTTGATTTTCGTATTGAAAATTCTGACAGTTTTTTGAGTTCCAGATGTCCTTCAATCTTATGAATGTTGGTCTTGCTTTGCCAATCCGTTCCTCAACGCCTGCATCACATCCCACTTGCTTATCAGTGATACTGCTGAGGTTCGTAAAAGTTTCCACTTCCAGAGCTTCCCTATGAAGTTAAACTTGGTTGGTCTTCGCTTTGTATTTTAGGATATTGCTTTTTCTCATGTGAATGTTGAGGCCTGTTGCTGTGGAGACTGACACTACTTTGGCTGTCTTCACCTGTATTTGTTGCTGTAAATGGGATAGAGAAGCTAGGTCATCTGTGAAGTCCAAATAGTCTATCTGCATCCAAGCTATCCACTGTATTCTGTGCCTCCCCTCAGATACGGAGGTCTTCATGATCAACTTAACCACCAGAAGAAAGAGAAAGGAGGAGAGTGAGCAGCTTCGTCTGTCATTGGTCTTCACTTGGAATACATTTTTGAACTGCCCTTAATGCATAAAGTTGCAGTGTAGTCTGTTGTAAGAATTCCGTACGATTATGGCAATCTTCTCAGATAGATCATAGTATCGAGGAACGTCCCATGAGGTCCTCCTATCCACTCTGTCGAATGCTTTTCCATATTCAAGTAAGTTGGTGCGTAGTGATGAGTTTCATTCGATTAATTGTGTCGCCATTTGATCGGTGCATAGCCGATCCTTACAAAATCCAGCATGTTTGTCTAGAAGTTGAACCTGTACTGAATCTTTCATTCGATTCAAAAACACTGTTTTGGGAAGAATTCCAAGAAAGTATCAACATTGAAATAATGAATAAAATTTGTAGCTCAGATGAACGCTATTAGTGAATCTGAGTTTTCCGACTCAAATGACTTAGTTGCAGAGCATCCATTGTCATTCTAAACAATGTCTTCAGCACCTACATGAAGTATAGTTGACTAACCTTGTCAATTCACAATGAATGTATTGTTCTATCTACAGTCTAAATGTGTTCATTAGAAACTTCAAACATAATGCTGATTGTTACGATACGACGAGTCAGAATAAATAGTGATGTTACTTCCATGTTAGATCTTATATTTTAGGTTTTTAAATCACGACAAATCTACGATATTTGGATTAGGCCTATTATTCCATTAGTACTTAATACGAACTAGATCATGAGTCTACATCGGTGAGACCGACTAAAGAAACACAGCCTTCTATTAACTCTCATTTTCACTCTAACTTTGCCGATGGATTTTTACTTATGTTTACTCATTGTTCTATCAGTCCTTTGATTGAGGCTCACATGTATTGTCGTAATGTAATATTGATTAGTAAATATGGATTACTAACTCAACCAATATTAATAACTGGTTATCTGTATTTGTTATTAGCTACGATGATTCATTAACAAGCCTTAATAGCATTTACATGCTTCGATGAAATTAACTTGTTAAAATATCAAGCACTAGCGAATATAGCCTTTCATTGTGTCGCCTGAACATGACCGGTTATTACAAGAAAGATTGCGTAAGGATTACTGAATTGCTTAACGAAATTTGCCAACACTATCCACACTCGAGCTATTTGACTCCAGTTTTCGAACTCTGAGGATATCATTTCAGATGACTAGTCGGCAATAGAAGGAAAACAGCGGACATACTAATACCAAAGTTGGGGTTCAGAATACAGTAACCAGCAATAAATCACCAAGTAAGGCGCAATCAAACACTGGAAATAGGTTGAGATACCTTAGGATGTGAAGTATGAACTATGCATACAACCTGACAGGTTTGTGAGGATTTGACAGAATCTTAATGGCTACAAAATTTGTTTCAACAGCAAAAACAATCGTGAACAAGTCGTTAGGAAACTCGGATAATACAAGTGTAGGCAAGGACTGAAAGCCAGTTTTTCACCGCTCTAAGGAAGTTGTGTGACGTTCTTTAGACAAAGTACATGGAAAGTCAACTTTACCTCCAATCTGCACAAGTGCTCATTACTGTTAATCCTCGTATTCCATAAAGAAAAATCTACAGCCTCTTTATTCAGAAATGCTTTACTCTAACGTCAAAATGTACACAGACAATGAGGTTTAAGCCTTGAAGTTTGTCGATATGTAGTGATTCTCTCGAAAATGTGACATCTATGTGGTAAAAACTGCACAAAACCTTGCTTATTACCAGAAGACGGCAAAAGTATACTCAAAGTCGTCGCAGATCCCTGAAACAACATAGAGTACAACGAAACAAATCAAGAATGCTAGGCAGCAACAATTTAAGCCATGGTTGACAAAACATACTCTGGATTTACAAGGACTAAATCAACTCACGATAAAATTGAAAATTATTTTCATTTTGAGAGCATATCTAATGTCCAGAAACTTCTCACTCAATCTTATGGTAAACAAAAAAATGTACAGTAGCTAAAAGTTTGAGGATAGGTCCAATATTATTCCTAAGTTAATGGAACCAGGAATCTATAATGATTGAACATGAAAGTTTGCTTGAAAAACAGGTCGATGTATCGCAGTGTATGGATTATGAGCTGACTAGATATCATAGGAGATATGCTGCACAGTGTATCCAAAAGTGATTTAGAGAGGATTCTTGGCCTACCGCCTTTAGTTAAATGTGTCCGGTGAAACTAATATGAAAAGAGTAAACATCGAAGGCTTATTAAGCTTCTTGTTTTTGGAGTCAGTTTACCATCACAGTCTGTCAGCTAGAGCGTACAGTCCATACTTTTCTATCATTCATAGAATAACACTGACCCCGTAATCACTTGTACATTCGTATAATAATATTATGCAAACTCTCTTCTTAATAAGTTAACTAGGTACTATGTTTATGCAGGCTAAACTTTAGTTGATTAACTGTCTTCACACGAACGTATATCAAATGTTGAAGGTTTTTGGTTCAACAGAATTGGAAGGTGACATTATTGGAACTCTTTAAGCAGGATGTTGAGATGATATTGATAGGAAGGAATTAGTAATTTGACCGATGTTTACAATTGCTTAGTATCAAAATAAAGTTATCAAATCGAAAGAGACAGCTCTAAACAAAAACATAACATTGCTTACTAAATAGATATTTAGGCTGAGAAGGCTTATCAAAAGCGTTCCAATAGTATGCCAACAATTGTTGATTTCAAGAAGGTAAAACTGCCTCACAAAAAACCGAAAGTATCGGGACACATTGTCACTAGAAAATCTGTATGCAGGCAAGATGATAATTCAGAAAACTGTGGGCAAATGTAATACACGAAAACGCATGGAATTAGTGTGATATATCTAGGCCCACATTTAGCGAGAATGATTGTTTAATTTTAGTTTAAGTTTTGTTGCATTCGTTATTCAACACTGATAGTGATCATATACCATTTCGAAAGTTGAAGCTGTTACAGATCGACGTAACTCGGAATCGCATGGCAAAGCAACACAAAAATCATATTCGTCTCAAACATACACTACTTAACTTAGAAGACTCAAGATTCTGAATCAAACCGATATATTTACGCAAAATTCTTAGTATTTGGATGGAGTTCAGGAAAACATCCAATTAAGATGGTAGATAAAAGCTATAAAAATAGACAGCCGTTGCAAAACTACGAACACCAACAACTAGGGGAAATGCAAAATACTGTAAACTTCCATTAACGTTTGATCGAAAGCCGTATTCTAATGAGCACAGTCAAGTTAGGAAAATAAAAGTTACCATAAATCAATGTAATTATCATAAAGTTTGGAAAGGTAATCAAACTCAAGAACTTACTTAATGTGAACTCACAACAACTCTGACACTGACAGGTCTAATGAGAACTGGGGAATGAATAATGGAAAAATTATCACTGAAGGACTCTTTAGTCTTTGATATTATCAGTAAGGGAAATTCTAAAAAGGTACAAAGGTGTGATCAAGATTAGCGGCGTTCGGACCGTCAGGACACCTGAGATACTTTTGTTGCTTAAGTCACTAACGTAAATGATTATCGGCAATAATTGGTGCTACAATACAAATGTCGACGAACGAGCTTAGTGGTCCAGTAGTGAAATCGTTTTTCCGGTTTATTACTTCAGACCTATTCTGTTGTCCACGTAACTGATCTAATCCGTTGCTTAGTCATTTCCCTGTTTTTGTTTTCTCTGTTGGGTAGAGCCGTATACGCCCATGAGAGGATGATGCTGAAGGGAGTTAATTGGAAACTTAGTTAGGAATACAGTTATTATTATTTAAAAGGTCATTTTTCTTGGCTTATCAACATTTAGGCTACTGTTGTGATATACAGGTTAGGCATAATGATAAAATCTGATTGGTGGTTATAGATATTGATGTGATGCATTAACATTGTGAATATGGGTGAAATCAATACTTGTATTGAACAAAGTTAAACATATGCATATGAATTTGGTGGGTAACTGCCCCATACATGTATATACACATGAAGCATATAACGCGAACAACTTGAGATATTGGCCAACTTTAGGGGAATTTACTAACTGTTTAACAGATATCAGAAGAATAACCAATAAAAAAGAAAGCAATAATGAAACCTTTCTCTTTTATACAGAATTAAATGAACTGTTAAAAACTAACTTCAGGTTGGTTTTACAACTCAACTCGTAAAAAATTGACCATTGTACATTTGATGCCTCTCGTGTTTGTATCAATTAACTCCAGTTGGCGGACTAGTTTGCCGAAAGCATGGTGAGTTCTTGTAATACCTGAGGTCTATGTCATTCAGGCTCCTGTCTCCGTTAAAGATGTAGATGGACACATATACGTCAAAGCCTTGGCGCAGTTTTTGAAGAAGTAAGATGCATAATATTCCTTGATTGCACTGTAGAACCGGTAAGGTAAGGCTACCTGATTGGACGGACGTTGTGAAACTATCATCAGCCAACCAGTTAGCACCATATAACCCTGACTGGTTTTATATTCGATGTGCCGCTATCCTTCGGCATTTATACATCAGGCCTACTGGCTTGACTGGCTTAAGCAAAGCATTCTCTAGAAAGAAGCGTAACGGCGTCAAACCATCCCATCGCTCCCTGGCACATTGTTCAGTTATAAGGAAAGCCATTCAACAAATGGAGGCACTCGGAATGTGTCAGAAACGTGAAAATGGGTAAGCTGAACACTTGTCATACATGCGATCTTGAGATGAAATAAACCGTCACGAGGTTAGAGTAATAAATAAACACCTCCAGTTCAATTTTTTAACTGGCATTTAGGGTATTGAACAGTAGCCCGTCCTAATTGCTTCTATTGCTGTATGCGCGGAAGCACCGGTCACTATGTAAATTTTCAAACATAGCAATTACAGTGATACATTTTTAAAAGAGCGCTGACTGTAGATTATACCCGTGGTAGATTTTGAGAACACATGTAAATTTGAAATGCCTGTTAATATATGCGCTTTTACTAGCTTCAGCATTTTTGTAAGCGTCTGTCTTTTAGCACTGAAAAGACTCAATGTGGAAATAGGCAATTATAATGTATTAGAAATGCGTGGTCCTGATGAACTCGGTTCTACTGAATAGGTGATTTTCAATTAGGTTGTCGACTTGTAAGGTTTTAAATCCACGGGTCTGTCGAAAAAACTATTGCTTCGGTGAAATAAGTATTTCTTGTAAGTTGATATACGTTTGTGCGTCATGTTTTTTAATTGACTAAACACTGATTGATTAACATATAAAATTAAGAATAACTCTTTAAACACTTTTATTTTAGCGGGAGATCTCTTACATCGACTGGAAGACGCGATTTGGACCGCCTGGCATATCAAATTCTTAAGGAGCGTCATTAATTCATGAAATATATTGTTGTGGTTTCATTATGTTTTCTTTATGATGATGTCTCATAAAACAATAACATTTTAGATGTAACAGGATGATATTTTTCAACATTTCAGTTGTGCTTACATGGTGGGTTAGCTCACATCCTGCAAAGTGTTGCTCGTTATTCAGATATCGTGCATTAAATTAATCAATTTATGCAAAGAGAGCTGGATATAGCACTCGATCAGCCTGCATTCGAGAATAGTTTACGTGCTTTACGTAACTCCCAGTTCTAATCATTCGTCATTATGTCGCAGAAAACATATGAGTGTGTTTCATAAACTATCGTAACGGATTTGTTAAATGGTATGAAACATGGTACGATAAGTAGTTTCGTTGAATCTGGAGACGTTCAAACGTTGATTTGGCTTTCGGGTGATCACTTACAAACTAGGACGACGATCTACTATGTGCAGTCACTATATCCTGATCTGAAATTTCGAGCTATATCAACACAACTAACGGGCACGTAGAACCAAAGTAAACCTGGTATTTCGACCTATGAAGCTGTCTATGTGATACGTCTATTGCTTAACAGTTAGGTTGCTTATTCATAGCATATGACCTATATGAAGTGAGAAAAACAGGAGGCCCATACGACGAAGGACATGGTCCATTTTCACAGCCTGGTTTCCCATTCTGCCTTTACAACACAAACTGGAGACTTTTGTAAAAGTATTATGAATTGTTGTTTGTCAGAAAACGGCAGTGGGGCGTAGCTGATGCTTTGCCTAAACAAATGGGGCTGGGTAAATGTATGAAGAGTTTTGATACAGAAAGTAGCTACGTTATGGCTGCGGGATCGATTTTCAATACGAAGGTACTGAATAGTTCGCACTTTTTGACCGACGCTTTGGTCGGTATTGACTTTGTATTAACTAAGGGCATTAGACATTAACGGTAGATCGTGATGGATGTAGACCTTCTCTGGAGTAATGAAGCTTGAAACGATGTGCCAGAACAGTGATGATCAAGTTACACCTAAATTACGTAAATGACTCTGGCGAGACCTCACCATGCACATTTGGTTGCAGTCAATTTTGTCGATTGGTCCATGTCTACAGTTTCAAAATCTCACTTGTCACGTCCGCACACATTCACTAATATAAAGCTGGAATCTGACACGGTCCGTTGAGAAATATTTGGACACAAGATCTAACGTGCTTCAAATACCATCTGCGTCAAACTAGTTCTAAATTCCCTACTTAGTGTAGTGTGATGTCGGTCAAATTGAGATTTCTTTACTTTCAACCTAGCGAGTCTCATGAAAGCGTGCGAAATTTGCACTTCTTGACTGTACTGGACAGTCTAGGATGTCAGGCTTGTATTTGGGAATCGCTGACCTAAGTGTTGTAATTCGTACGACGGCATATACTAAAGTGAATACTATGTTCGGAATAAAATCTAGCCGTTCCCACTGGAATCCAATGGTTATCTTCAAATTTCTTGTTCGTAGTTACCTGCTTTTAGTATTTAGGAACTAAAGGCAGTACTTGGTTCATAACACTTTGCTGTGTCTAATGTTTATCATGTAACCTACCAAGTTTTTACGAGACAATTTCTAGTGTGAGAATACAGTCTGAATGCTACATTTCCAAGTGATGACGATCAGGTTTAGTAAGATGGCATATGGAACACGATGACGCGTCCTATGAAAAGTCGAATGAAACACGTAGTCGGCCAGAATGTATTCTTAATTGTTGTCCATTTGAAGCGTACGAGCGGAATGAGTTACGCCTCGGAGGCGTGCTTTTATTGATAAACATATTGCACACAACTAAGCTTACCGCAAATAAGATAACAACTGGAGGATTTTCAAATTGATTTTCTAGCGCTTATAGTGATGCTGCCTATGATGATAATGGTAGTTTTTTTTAATTAGTATATAAAAAGTCTGTGTATAGTGAAGTCGTCTTTTATATACAACAAGGCTTTACAGAAGCATGAACGACGAATTCAGCAAACAAATTGAAAGGGTTATAAGTGTACATGAATTTGAATTCAGAAGGCTTTCGTTGACTGTTTGTATAAGTCCATATAGGCATATCGTGACTGCGCGTTAGACTGCAATTCTTGATCTAGTAAAAAAGAGAAAGTAGTTCAACGCTTATATAAAGTGATATGACAGGAAGAAAAGTCAAAATTATATTGATTTACTCATTATAATTTTTATTCAACATTAATTCCGTTTTAATTCAATGTAATGATTATTCAGTATAGTATTTGTTTCTATTTTCCCATATGACATTTTATTCTATATAATATACAATATTCTTGTATTCTAATGCACATGAACTATTCTCAGCATATGATTTATAACTCTAGGTATTTTCTTTATATATGTGATTTTATTCTAATTATTAACCAAAAATGGGTATATGAATCAATATATAAATGAGTGTATTTTCGACTAGGGTCGTCGTGTTTTAGGGGTTAATAAATCTTCACTTATACCAGCCTTTGTGTTAATATATATTTGCGTTGTGGGAATCGCAGTGGTTCCTCGCTTTACGAGTATAAGTGATAAGAGATTCCGACATAACAATCAGCAACGACCAGATATAAAAAGTGGCGTTCAATCGACAAGACATATCAGAAAGTAAAGTTTGTCAATAATTAAGGAGTTTACTCGTGTTTGCAATGCTGAAATCATGGGTTTGCGCATACAGTAGGCAAAATATTTTATACACAAGATGTAGGTGTTTAAAAAGGTATCATCAGGTGAGTCGGTTTGTACATTTATGTATTCACTGAACGACTGATTGATATTTTAGTTTAACCTGTAAAAAATATCAAACTGGTTAAGTACATAACGTGATTTCGTATTGTATTGTGATCTGGTACTCTAGGATACATGATGAGTCGAAAAATACAAAATGTAAGTGACCGAACTTTTCGACCTCCTAGTATCTATGACTGGGTAGCTGGAAACGTAGGATTTGCGTTGGACTACCACTTGTGACAGATACTGTACCTGACACAAAGTCGCAAATATTAGCGCTGTGGTTGGGAAGTTTAACATACACCTAGCTAATTTGATGATTTCCGCAATGTATGTCCTACCAACGTCCAGCGTCTTTCCTTAATTTCTTCTTCAGTTGGAAGAAGGTCCTCCTATCTACACTGTCAAATGCTTCCTCATAATCAAGGAAGTTGACGTGTAGTGACGAGTTTCACTCAGTTGATTGTTCAACGATGATCCATAATGTCGTAATTTGGTCTGTGCACGACCGATCCTTACGGAATCGGGCTTGTTGATCTCAAAGTTGGGCATCTGCCGAATCCTTCATCAGGTCCAGCAACACTGAGAACCTTTCCTGGTACCGACAGTAGCGTGATGCCTTTATAATTTCCAGTTGCTCAGATCCGCTTACTTTGCTATCTTGACGAGACATTCTTCTTTCTAGTCCATCGGCATTAGGGAAAAATTTAAAATTGGTTAACGAATTCGTGAATCTTCATATACTGAGATGGTTGGTACATATTTGATGGAAACTTTATCCCATTTACCTCGACGCGTGATTTCCACTTAACTGCCGATAAGCTAAGAAGTTTCGTCAGTTCATGGATTTATTAACTGTTGGACTGAGCCGAGTAGGTAGGTGTACGCCTGGTGTTCGGTAACTCTCCTAAGAATGTATTACAGTGGCGCAGATTCATTCATTATATCTTGATAAAGAACTTTAAAAATGATCTACTATCAAAATTATCTAGTACTTCTTTATACCACGGATGCACATTTTTTTCGAATCATATTGTCTAACTAGTTTCTTCGATAACCACTGATATTACATCTACTACTCAGGTATCTTGCCTGTTGTTATAATCTCTTTCTCACGGTTATGACCCAGCTATTCCTATTGCTCAGTATTCTCGGACACCGATTCACTCGACAAGTCCCCAAATCAGAACACGGTTGAACAGGAAAGAGATTATATTCCAAATAACCAGGTTAGATGGAAGTAAGAAGCACAATAGGGAAAACATTAGTATATTTATAGTTTTTACATGAGAAGATTCTAGAGTATTCTCCAAGTATCGACTAGTGCTGATTGGATAAGAATTAGCCAATCAGCGTGCACTAAAGCAATCGAGCATGCTCTAATCCAGTCTATGTCCCGCTAACACCTGTGCTGAAGTGGTGTGTCAGCTTAAGTCGGTGAATATGTGTTCCGAGTAATTGAACAGGTTTTCGAAACCTTGATAGCTTTCTATTTATGAGACATTATAATATTGCCTGATCACCATCAAGTCATATTTCAGTGTCTAGGTTTAACAACTGATACACTGTATCAGTTGATGATACGGTGCTGCGATCCCTACTGAACAAAACATCATAACAAAAGATGTTTACTTATCGCTTCAGAGGTCACTAAATACATTAGTGCTAATTGAAACTACTCAAGTAACAGAAACCTGTGGTTATACGATGACTGACATTTCTTGGAAATGAGTTTCTGTTTATTCCAATATACTCCGCTATTCTTAACATAAGTAATCAATGTATGGATCCCAATACGCTTATTATCTTCATAGCAAGAAGATCAAGACTAACATGCTCAGAGTTTGGTTGTGTGCATCAGAAGTTTCATGATTTGTCAGTGATACGAGTAGCTGTAATCAAACAGATCACCTAGCTTATCCTATCCTATCTTAACTTTACAAAACTAACAGTACATTAAACTGATTATCTTTAGAAAGTTTTACTATAGTAAAAGTATTTGGCCACGAATGATCATCAAAATGTGAAGAAATCGTAATAAATTTTGTAAAAGCTTGGACGTTAAGGGATTACATTATACAATACGCCTCAAACGAGATATACTGATAAACACTTTTTGTATCCAGCCAAACAAAACGTAATTGCCAATATAATGCAGTACGAATAATGTAATGCTTATGTTGCGCAATAAGGTATTTGGAAATACCTATATATATATATATATATATATATATATATATATATATATATATATATATATATATATATATATATATATATATATATATAATTATCACTAACAAAATGAAAAGAAATCAAATAAACGAGCTTACTGCCTTCTAATTTGTTCTCGGACCTTCCACCACTGATCATCAACCTTAAATTATTAACACCTGAGTCATCAGGGGATGAAATATCTTGATTTAATTGTGAGTACGGTTCGTAGAAATGATGGTCAGGACTCGTGTCGTGAATATGATCGTGCCCATCATATGCACTAGAACCACACATGCTGCATATGTTGCCACCACCAGTGGATGCACCATCCGAAGCGCCAGCCGGATCACATCGCAGTTCACAACCATAGGACGAAGGATTACTAAAAAGCGAATAGTTCAATCAAGTGAAGGTTTTGTGATAATGTCATGTAATTTGGTGTTTCATACTTGGCAATGAAGACAATTAGTTGACCAAGAAACCATTTCTTACTACAAAGAATTCATTGTCTATTAAATTAAATCCAACGAATTATTATTTATTTGAACACATAAATATTGGTACAAGAGGGCACCAAATATATATGCGCCACACAAAACAATGAGAATTTGAAGAGAAGGAAAAAAGGAGCGTAAAAAAAGAACGATAACGAACAGATCGGTGTAAGGTAGTGTAATAATAATGGGGGAAACCGAAACGTACAATCAGAAGAGATCTTTCAGTTAAGGAAGAAGCAAGCACTTTTTATGAAAAAAGTAAAAGGTTACAGCAGGATCGCCACTGACTCCTATTTTGAACCATATCTGATTACGTCTCTACTCGAGAACGTTTAGACAGAGCCGAATTTCCACCATAGGCGAGCTGCTGTATAAGTCGAAAAATAAGGATAGACAGAGTGGGAATAAAGTAGAGTGAAAAAATGACGTAATTAATAATAATAATGTGAATCGTTTGATTGCTAACTGAAGCAAGAAAAGTATTTTCTATAAATATCGACAGTTCATCATATTTGTGTGTGGGCTGTGATACTGCCCGGGTGCCCAGACCGAAGCAGATGGTTTTCCTAGAAAGTCACACCTCCAGCCCTGGACCTAAAGGTCTAACCCACAAGGCAATGGGGCATTGTGAGGAGATACAGTCTCATGGTAGCCGGTGACCAACGATTGGTTCATACGCCATTTGTTCCCGCAGGATACTGGAGCCCATGTGCACCATTGGTTTGGGATCCGGTTAAAGCGACGGACATTCGCATTTCATCCTCTCAATTTTGTAAACAACACTCCCGTCACGAGTAGGCAGTGAGTAGGACTTCCCTGGCAGAGGCTGTGTACGCGTGGTCGTGTGAGAGCATTTCGAGAGGGAGGGCTGACCCATCTCACTCTCGGCCGTACCAGGGCATTTGGGGGCAAAAAAACCCAACGAACGGAAAAAAATAGTGAACCAATAAGGTGAGCTTCAGATTGGATACCTTCAATCAATTCTGAAAATAATTTATGCCAAGTCGTTAATGATATATATCAGAGTTGTCATATCTTTTGATATCGTTAGCTACGGAGAATCAATTTTCGAATGGGTTTCATGCGTACAACAGAAAGTTGTTTATGTTGGAGATAAACTCAAGGTACAGATTTTAAAATGAACACTTATGGATTTTGGTCCTGGCAAATCCAGCTGACAAGTTTCAAAATCAAACAACAAATGAGTCCAATACTTCAATGCTAGTTACCGGTCTTTACTATGAGGAAAATCACATTAGGCAAAACATGTCACGATTTGGTCATTAGAAACAGTTACTTAGCATACCAACGCATCAAGCGTTTGATGAGTTATATATTCTTTTATTTTTATTGTTGATCGTTGTCCGTTTTCGGTGTGGGAATATAGTTACGTTCTAGTCAAGCTAATCACGTGTTCTTGATCTGAGTTGTGTTGAAGTTCTGTAGAATAGACACCGGGAGAGAATCTAGTGTAGATATTTGTCTAAGGCAAACTAACGTCCCATTCGTGTAGCCAAGGAAAACCGAGCGTTATAACGAAGTGAATAAGATAACAACAGAATAAGAAGTTTCTAATAACAGCAATCAGTACCAACATATAAATCACGAAGCCCTAATTGTAAAAAATTCCTACTGAGAATAACGTGTGCAACCGATAAAAATAAAACTCGTGAGAGTAAATATAAGTTCAGTAATCAACATTTTACAAAATAAAATAATTATAATAGAAACACTGGTGATTACTTGTAAATATTACTTCCAATCGCGTGGGTTGCCAAATCGCATAATTTATCAGCTTGCTGACCACGAGCGGCTTTTAAATATCCCCACGTATCACACAACTGGCGTGAAAATTGTGTTTGAAGGAATGCAAAGTGAGCTCTTTCCTCCTGCAACTGATTTGTTAAGAAACTGCGTTGAGAATAAGGAGGATTTGATTCGAATAGATAGACATTCTCATCTTCATTACGTTCACCTGTTCGAGATAACAATTCATGAGGTGCTATATTCCACAAAAGATCATTATTCCCAGATGAAACGTCAAGACTAGCAGCACGGCGAAGATATTCATTTGTTGTAGGAGAGTGAAATTGATAATATAATAGTGGATTCGGATAAACTTCATTAGGATATCTGCGACCTAAAAAATAGTTGTAACGAACTTCATTACTAAAGTAATGAACTCAAATTATCATGTAGCTTTGACACATGAGGTAAGCGGAAATCATTAGTTTAACTGTGATAGTAAAACAAAACTCTGATTCTTGTTACAACACAAAACAGATTAGAATTATACAGGCAAAAGTAATTAAGAGGAAAAAACAGTGTAGATAACAAATTAAAAAAACACACCAGATTTTAAACGAACAGACAGACACAACTAATTACATACCAAACACAGACGTTTGAACTTCCATGAGCTATTAATACCTGGAGATAGAAAGTCCGCAGTTGAGATAAGATCAATTTATACATAAATTGCATAAAATTTAGTGAGCAAATAGAATCGTGTGAAACCGAAATGTGACTCATTAAATTTTTCTAACATTTATGCTAAAGTTTTTCAAATTAGAAGTTACAAGAACCTACATAAAGATATGTACTAAACACATTAATACTTTGGTAGTTAATAATAATTTTTGAGGACTGAATATGTTTAAACGGATCTAAATGGTTTGAGTTTAAAGCGAAACAATAAAGACATGAAAAAATGCTATTGCAAAGATCAAAAAGTTACCTGTCTGAAAGTCATAGTATTTCGAATGAACGTTTGTGGAACAGGGTGGATATTGAAAAGAACAGCCACGATCAGTAGGATGGGATAAAAAGTGCTTGTTCGTCAAATTAAACTCCTCTGTAGACGCTAATCCACAGTCGTTTTCTGAGTAAGGTATTTGCATGTAACTTGTCGAACGTTCTATTAAGGGAATATGAACTGAATCAGATGATATTGGGCTTTTCGGCTGTGATTGCTGTCGCTGTAAGCCACGACTAGGCTGTGGACGATTGGAAATTCGACGATGCAAACGTTGAGAAACAATAGGAGAAAGTATTGCAGCCAGAGATGGACTCGAATACATATATTGGCTGCGATCTACGGGATCGTGTGGGACGAACTGAACATGACAATTTGGTGTATAGTACTGTGGGTGTCTCAGAACATTCGTTGGTACAGTATAAGGAACCTCACGAATAATTGTTTGAGGTGGAGAGTGTATGTGACCGACTGTCGGAGGTTGGTGTTCAGTTGACATTACTGCACAAGAACACGGATTATGGTTACCATGAGAGACATCTATTGGTCTGGTACGAGATTTTGAATTTAAAACTTCATCATTGTGAAGAGCAGGCAAACTACCAGGGACAAAAACAAACGGAGAGGAGGTTTCTGGTTCTTTGGAAATGGAATCCCCGACACATACCACTGGTATTTCACCAGTTAGACAATGATTTCCAGACAATAAAGATTTAATGGGAATGCCACAGAAAGTACCATCAGGATACACTGGACCAAGATCGGTAACCAAATAAGATGGATACAAAACCACCTAGGTTAGTTAGGATAAACATCAAATACAATTTGAACAGATATGTAAAGTAATGAGATACCATAGAGTAAAAGTAACTACTGGTTAGCATACGTAGATTGGATTAAAGCATGTTCCTTGCATGATTATGTTGTAGCACACTGAGAGACCACTTATAAACCGACAAATGTAAATAAAGACTCAAGAAAATTCCTGTGTAAAATAATATATACATACAAACTTTTTTCGTGTTTTGATTTCTTACTACCATTCTATCTCAGTCAGTCAGTAACAACGTAAAACTTCGTAAGTACGTACATCAGTTCGAGTTGCCATACCACATTAGCACAGAGATGCCGTCGTCGATTCAAACCCCATAGTGGTAGAGGTAATAAGAGTATAAGCAGTAGTCGGAAACATTAGAGTCTGAAGATGTTATTTAAAGAGTATAATCCAGTCAAATAAATTTGGAAAGAAAATAAAAGATATGAAGAATTCAGAAGATTAAAATTTGGGAGAGCACAAAGAGTGGATGCACCTGCGCCATTGCAAACGATTTTGAGCCATGTCATTCAGGGTCTCTGACCATCGGTTGCTATCATCTCGCGGTCCCCAACCAGGTAGTCTATACCTATCAACATGACTCAGACCACTTGTCAGTGACTTCATGGACTTGAGCCATGTTTTGATCTGGCCACCCCTAGCTTTCTCCCAACCTAATCCTACACCATAAAGCATCGCACGTCGGGGCAGTCGGTGGTTGAACATACGTAACACGTGTCCCAGCCATCTCAACTGATGAAGTTTCACTACGTCATCAATTGATTTGCCATCCTTACCTAGTACCCGTTTCCTAACAACTGTGTTACTTACTCGATGGTCCCATGATATACCAGCAATATTTCGAAAACACCTATGATAAAATACTAGTAGCCTACGAGTATCCACTACTCTTACCGGCCATGTTTCACTGCCATAAAGCAGGACGGAACGAACTGCTACGCAGTAAACACGTCCTTTGGTTGATAGACGGATATCTCGCCTACGCCATAAATGACGCAAGTTCGCAAAAGCTAGTCGAGCCTTCTGTATCCGTGCTGAGATTTCGTCACATACCAGACCACAAGGGCTGATGAGACTTCCAAGATAAGTGAAGCGGTCGACACACTCAACTACTTCACTCCCTATCACTAGTTCGGGTGTCGATGTAACCCAATCCTGAAGCAACATTATGCATTTCGAGGGAGAGAATCGCATCCCGAACATGCTTGCATTGTTGCTTAGAGTGGTCAGAAGACTCTGCATTTTGTCAGCGTCTTCGCCAAATAAAACTATGTCATCAGCATATTCTAAGTCAACAAGTGAACCTCCCGGTAGAAGTTCAACCCCTGGAAATTTAGTTGAGGAAAGTGTCATCAGTAAAAGCACGTCAACGACAAAGTTGAACAAGAATGAAGAGAGTAGACATCCCTGACGAACACCACTTGAGGTAATCAATTCTGATGACAGTTAGCCATAAGCTCTCACTCTGCCAGTTGTGTTCGAGTAGAGAACCTTTATAAGGTTAATGTACTTCTTTGGTACTCCTTTCAGTGACAAACACTGCCACAGAACCTCACGATCAACACAGTCGAATTGTGCCTTAAGGTCGAGAAATACTACGATTGTGGGGCGTCTGAATGTGTGTCTATATTCTAGGATCTGATGTATTGTGAATATCTGGTCTATACAACAACGTCTAGGTCGAAAACCAGCCTAATTTTCTCTAGTGTACTCTTCACGAGCTTTAGTTAGGCGTTGGAGTATTATTGAAGCTAATATTTCAGACACTATATTAGTCAAACTGATTTCTCTGTGATTGTCATAAGAAGACTTTTGCCCTTCCTCATGGACTGTCATAATCAGTGATGGAGACTAGTCAGATGGGATTACGTCCAGTTCCCAGATACTGCCTAAGACCTCAGTCAATCTCGCTGCTAATACTGAACCACCATACTTAAAAATCTCAGGGGTACCATTCTATCTTGTCATTTGTGAAATAGTTACGTTCCTATTCGGTGGCGTTATGGTTTGGGAACTTGTTGACTGAATAAAGGTGTCCGAAAAAAATACTAAGCAATGATAGCGGCTGGGTTCTATTAGGAGAAATTATAACACTACTTCATTGATGTAGATCGTCCGCAAGCTGTTGGTAACACGTTTATTGCCTAACAGTTAGGTTGCTTATTCATAGCATATGACCTATATGAAGTGAGAAAAACAGGAGGCCCATACGACGAAGGACATGGTCCATTTTCACAGCCTGGTTTCCCATTCTGCCTTTACAACACAAACTGGAGACTTTTGTAAAAGTATTATGAATTGTTGTTTGTCAGAAAACGGCAGTGGGGCGTAGCTGATGCTTTGCCTAAACAAATGGGGCTGGGTAAATGTATGAAGAGTTTTGATACAGAAAGTAGCTACGTTATGGCTGCGGGATCGATTTTCAATACGAAGGTACTGAATAGTTCGCACTTTTTGACCGACGCTTTGGTCGGTATTGACTTTGTATTAACTAAGGGCATTAGACATTAACGGTAGATCGTGATGGATGTAGACCTTCTCTGGAGTAATGAAGCTTGAAACGATGTGCCAGAACAGTGATGATCAAGTTACACCTAAATTACGTAAATGACTCTGGCGAGACCTCACCATGCACATTTGGTTGCAGTCAATTTTGTCGATTGGTCCATGTCTACAGTTTCAAAATCTCACTTGTCACGTCCGCACACATTCACTAATATAAAGCTGGAATCTGACACGGTCCGTTGAGAAATATTTGGACACAAGATCTAACGTGCTTCAAATACCATCTGCGTCAAACTAGTTCTAAATTCCCTACTTAGTGTAGTGTGATGTCGGTCAAATTCAGAAGATATGAAAGTTATGAACCTTTAAAAAAATGTCTTAAAAGTCGTTCGTGATTTATATCCTCCTATGGACAATGTATATCTACTTTTGCTTAGAAAATTTATATTTTGGTGCTGCCCAAAATATGAACTGATTCATGTAAAATTAATTTCAAGTGCATAAGTACTGTGTAGACTAACCTTTTTGTTAGACTGAGTCTTATAAACAGAATGTTCGCTATGTAGATCTACTGGACAGCTAGTTGACTCAAACGGCCACATGGATGACTGCAGGTAATAATCTGCACCCCGATCGAGGATCGCTTCTGTGCGTTTAACGTGAGGTGTTACAGGAACAGATAATGAACCCGGAGCAAATCGATGGTCAGTATACTTAGAATAGACAGAGAAGGAATTTGCTGGGATGTTTGGATATAGAGGATCAGTATAAACCAAATTATTTTGTTCTGTCTGAATGCCATCATCCCAAGATTTTCCATGATGTACTGGGTATCCATCCGAATTGGTTACTGGTGGATAGAAACTATAGTCATCAAAGTAGTTGCCACATCGGTCACCATTCATATCACTAGTAGTTTTATCATTATCTACAGTGGGATTAGAAATAGATTTCTGATCATCATCATCGTCATTCAACGTTTGGGATATATGCATACCATCCATTTTAACGTCTTTTTGATTTTCTTTCCTCGTGGGACTGAAAGCAACTTTACAGTTGTATTGAGTGGATATACACTGAGAAGTATGAATGGAGGTCGAATTGGTTACATAGGTATCGATCAAACGATTATGGTTATCAAAGGTGTAAGGGTTTTGGCGCTTTTGCTGATGTATTAGTGCCTCTTCAAGTTGAGCACAACGAGCCTCTAAAACTGATTTAGCTTCTAAAGCCTCAGCTTTTTCTGCACGTGCTTTTGCCAGTCGTGCTCTTTCAACCTATTTTCAAAGGAAACTCGGTAGATAATAAATTGGAAATAAATAATAAACGATTAGAAAAAATTCGAAGTTTCAGTTGCATAAATGTAAACAATCAATGCGCATACATGTGGATAAATAAATTTAACAGGGCATCAAGTAAACATGGTTTGTTTCAAACTTACACTGCGAAAAAGTAAAATGCAGAAGGATAATACAGAGACATAAGGAGAATTATCAGCACTATAAGGAGAATAATTAATTCAGTAACGAAAAAAATACTGAGAATGTAGAAAATGACATATCAATTGAAATAATCTGGAAAGATACTAAAATGGTAGGTTACCTCTCGTCTGGCTCTCTCTTCTCTTGCTTGTGCTCTCATTTGCTGGACCTCAATGCTATCCGGCTGACGACGTCTCATGAACAGTGAGTGGTTACCAGCACACATAGACATTACTGTTTTAGCTTGATTTGGGTCTGCCAACCAAACTTCAACAACACTGATTAATACAGTCTCAGAATTCAGATTAGACGATTTAAGCAAACTTTTCGACGGCAGCGAGACATTGTTTTCCACAGACTGAACCCTAGGGCCACGAAGACAATTCACACTAGTCCTAGTAACTGCGAATTCATTAGCAGAGTAACGAGAGGATTTGATTGATAAACCAGGAATGCAGCGTGAACCTAGTTCAAGAACTAAACAAGGAACTACATATTACTTTAAAATTTAAAAAATCGAGCAGCAGATTTTTCCAGTGAATATTCGTTTAGATTGTACATACAATTAAATAACAACTACATCAGAAGCGCACAAATTATTTATGATTCTTAAATCCAGAGTACGACAATGAACAATAATAATCCATTTACTCAATACCACAAATTGCGGTGCAGCAAAAAATCTACAGCATCAGCTGTGCAATATTCTAAGATCCATTCCATTTGTAACTATTCAAAACACTTTTCTAAAAATGTTTCCTAACATTAAGTATTGATCGTCAAAGTTTAGCTACCACGACTACTTTTCTACCCATCATATATATAGTGCTTGAATTCAAATATATTTGCCTCTCGTTTTGTAAAAGCATAGATCAAAAAAAGAAAAAACGCCAAGAACTTTAGGAATTCTGTTCGAGTTTTCCAGTAATATGTACTGAAAATATTTTGTAACCCATTAATAAAGCGCGAATACATAAACCTAGCATTCGTAATAATCAAATCTTAAACGTCTGGAAAATAGAAATATGTATCAGTTTGTTTCAATGTACTTTTTTTACTGACTTCAACCAATTTTTACGAATTTCCAAAACCTTTTGTCTACAGAATTTGCGTAAATGATATGTATAACTGAACACAAAATTATGCGAAAAAAGCTATACTATTAGAATATATTATAACATTTAATTTTTCATTCTTCCTTCATATATCAGTACGAATCTTTAGTACACATCTTATCCCAAAAGTCCGATGGAACAATAGAAGAATTTCAGGATTAGAAATCTTACTAGTAGTTATTGTTCACTACTTTAAAATCAAATTATTATGTAGTTAATGTGAAAAGTATGCAACGATTTTAGACATAAACAAATAAGACAGCAAATTGTTTGTTAACTGTAAAACGTCAGGTAGTCACAGAGTAGAAGCTGACACGATATAAAACTGTCAAAACTAAGAATAGAGGAGTTAATATAGGTATGAGTGATAATTGAGAAGATTAGATAGCGAAGATACGATAAACGAAAATATAAATTAGAGTAATTTTAAACCACGAGGAAATCAGAAGCTCGAAATCTTAGACACAAGGAATGGGAAAACCTGAGCAATTATAAAAGATTTTGAGCCACGGTATTCAAAATCCCAAAACAATGGTTACGAAAATTACAACGGACCTAAACAAGTAGCTTATTCATGTTAATAAATCACAGTCCAATTGCCAATGACTCCATGGATAGATATCATATTTGGTTTGTCCACTGCTAGCCCACGTTCCGAAAACAAATGCTCAACACAACATAGCCAGTTGATGTAGACGGTGGTTGGGAAACGGAACGCATGTACCAACCACCTCAGTTGATAACAATTTACTAATTCGTCAAGCTATTTCACATTTATTTATTTTAACACATAGATATTGGTACAAAAAGGTACCAAATACATATGCGCCACAAAAAACTCATTTGATATGTCTGAGGGCTGTGATACTGCCCTGGTGCCCAAACCGAAGCAGGTTATTCCCCATCCTCACCACTACACTATTCTTAAAATACATGAGCAATTCTTTGAAGACACTTATTTATGATCGAATACTAGTAACAGACAACACATCTTCAGCTTTGTTATCCACGATTGCCCATGATCATTGAGTACCCTTTTCATCAATCTGCGATCAGGCTGCTTCCTTTCCTTATCGTTTTCAAAGCTTGATGGGACCGAGAACCGACCAGTTAAGTAGACGCTAGAGAAATCCAGTGATTTTTCTTAAACTGGTGGTTTTAGTTGCTGCTCACGGGTTTGGTCATCGTGTCAAGCTACCTCGGGGTGGATATCACTTTCACGCCTGATTAACTCCTTTAGTTGTTCCTGGAAAATATTCTTGGTTTTTTAATCACTAAGCCGAACTTCAAGAGGTTTCCTGCTGTGAGTTTTCTGCGTTCAGTGAAACAGACAAACACATGGTCGTACTAGAGTACAATCACAGTCCAAACATGTGTTCCAAAATAAGCCCCAGTCTTATCAAGCTTCTTCAAAGATAGCTGATTGCAACATGGTATATTTGTATTCATTGTTGAGTCACTTTTAGGTCAGCATTTTAGGTAATGTCACTGTTTATACTTGAAGTTAGTTCCAGTTAGAAATAAGCGGTTTTCTGAGCATAGTCGAAGATGGTCTCTATGAGCTGTTATTAGTTGAGCTGGTGCAACGTGATACCCATACAAGTACCTTTCAGTTTGCATAGGATTACCCACATAGTAAAATTACCTGCTACGAGTACTATATCTGAGTGTCTAGTTTTTTAGGGGATGAAAAGCCTTCCATGAATGTTCATTTTTTAAATTCATCTGAACTACAATTAATGAAAACGCAGGGATAGGCAATAAAGAGAAAACGACGTGTCCCTACCTCCTCGAGTTTTCTTATCTCGTTTAGTCGAACAACGCACAAGTGCCTATCTAGCAGAATCCGATCCAGGAATACCTGTTCCGTTTTTGAACCTAGTGCTGTACCTACACCGGTGAAGTCACAGGAAGTGCTAGTGGGGTCTCCAGATACACAGGGTAAATCGCCCTAATTGAGTTGTGTCCAAACAGATTACCACACTCGAATTTTGTATGCACGTATCGGAGATACAACACACGTCGACAGCGCGATATTCTAGAGTCCTAGCTAGAGAGGTTCGTGTGCTTAGTACCAAATACCATTTATTTGATTATTTGAACACATAAACAATAGTGCAAAAGCTCACCAAATATATATCCGCCACACTATAATAATGAAGTTGTGTAGAGTTAGAGAATGAAAAGTGTGTATAATAAAATAAGAACAGAAGTTAGTGTATGAAAGTGAAATATGAATAACAGTAGTGGGAGAAACAGTTCGGTTAGGAAAAATACCAGAAAGGATTCTTTCAGTTAAAGTTACGTCCAGTTTTAAGAAGAAAGTAACAGCAAGATCGCCACTGCTTTCTATTCTGACTCATGTATGATAACGTCTTTAGCAACTGTGTTGCAACATCTCTAGAGTGCCCAACCAGGGAATTGTGAAGGTTCAACAGAAGCCAGCCATGTGCAGCTTTCTTTCATACCACGACATCATGTCATACACTTTTTCCGACCAGTCCCTAAAGCGGAAAATAATGCACGGCGTGAAATTCCCTGGACAATATTTGTAAGATATGTGTGGACCACCACCAGCACTTGCGCAGCTACCCAGATACATGAACTTCGCTACTACTGATGACTACTCAGTCAGTAACAACGTAAAACTTCGTAAGTACGTACATCAGTTCGAGTTGCCATACCACATTAGCACAGAGATGTCGTCGTCGATTCAAACCCCATAGTGGTAGAGGTAATAAGAGTATAAGCAGTAGTCGGAAACATTAGAGTCTGAAGATGTTATTTAAAGAGTATAATCCAGTCAAATAAATTTGGAAAGAAAATAAAAGATATGAAGAATTCAGAAGATTAAAATTTGGGAGAGCACAAAGAGTGGATGCACCTGCGCCATTGCAAACGATTTTGAGCCATGTCATTCAGGGTCTCTGACCATCGGTTGCTATCATCTCGCAGTCCCCAACCGGGTAGTCTATACCCACCAACATGGCTCAGTTTACTTGTCAGTGACTTCATGGATTTGTGGTACTCCTTTCAGTGACAAACACTGCCATAGAACCTCACGATCAACAGAGTCAAATTGTGCCTTAAGGTCGAGAAATACTACGTTTGTGAGGCGTCTGGATGTGTCTATGTTCTAGGACCTGACGTATTGTGAATATCTGGTCTATACAACAACGTCTAGGTCGAAATCCAGCCTGATTTTCTCTAGTCTGTTCTTCACGAGCTTTAGTTAGGCGTCGGAGTATAATTGAAGCTAATATTTTAGATACTATATTGGTCAAACTGATTACTCTGTGATTGTCCTGACCGCTCACTACTCAATGTGAGTGCAGGTTCAGGGTCCTACCAGTTTCGTAAAAGTACTTTGCACTTCGAAGATGCAAAGCACATGCCAAAACTACAGTCATTGACTGCCAACTAATCAACTTTAGATTGCATGACTTGGATATCATCGCGCAGTAGGACGATATCATCCACATCCTCAAGGTTAAAAGTGTTTCTACAGGCAACAAATCCAAACCACCATTACCTACATTCAGCAGAACTGTTTCCAGATAAGTAAGTTGAAGGAGAATGGTGAAACTGGTCAACATTGTATAACCCCACTGCCTGAATAGAACAATATAGAGAGGTGATTGTATGCCCTCTCTCTGCCTGAGGTGTTTGTATATAGGGTTTTCAAGATATTAATAAACTTATCAGGCACACACATCTTCAATAGATAGTCCCAGAGAACAGTTCTGCCCGACGAATCGAAGGCGGTTGATACAAAAGCTGCAGCCAATTTAATGACATCTATCGATTTAGAGATATGAATTTGTTGGCCAATAAAATTTAAGGTGAGATTAGCGCAAACAAAAGCATGATCCGAGTCCAAGTAGGTACTCCAAAAGGAGCAGCAGTCTTGTACACAAAAACGCCAGCGGTAGCTGATCGCGATGTGATCAACCTGAGTCCAGGCTTGAGATGCATAGGGAGGGAGCCAGTTGGTACATCGGCGATGACTGTGCCAGTAGTTATTGCTGGTCGGATACAGGTTGTAGTCTGCACACAGTTGCACTAGACGGTCACCGTATCCGACCTGTAACCAACAAGTCCTAATCGGCCACCCAAACGACTCTCTTTTGTGCTTAGACACTCGATTTGGCTAGTACTACAATATTCGTCGAACGCACTCTTTGTAGAACAATCAACTGATGGTAAAACTCATCCGGGCTGCAATTTTTCGGAGCGTAGGCGAAGATGGCTAAAAGATATCGTTTCTTATACCGATTTCTCTTCACTTTGATGGAACTTTCAAACCAAACAGCGCATAACCGACTGTCAATGAGAATCCAATAGATCAGTGCTGCCTCAACTCTAGCGCTTAGTTCGACACCAACATCAACAAAACCAGACGAAGATGCCACAGGATCGCCATATAAACGCAAGTGAAACAAGCTTTCCGAAGTGGTAGATGGAGTGCGAATTCATAGTACTTTACTACAGTCTAAAATACATTTCTCGGATAGACAATAGAAATCGATGTGGAAACTTTTTAAAGGCATAAACAACCCTATCTGTTGTCCTATCTGCATTAATATGCGAACGTTGAAGCCAGTTTGAATGGTATACGTAGTTTGACAAAGGCTGGCTCACAATTCGTAGTCGTTGGTAGCATTCAACTTTTGACTAGTCAGTGACTTGAGATCGCTTGGATAGAACAGGGTTTTCACCATAGACAAGCTACTGTGTAAGTCGATAAATAAAGGGATACACAAAATGACGATAAAAATTAGTAGATGAGTGATGCAGAATAAAAGAACTAAAAACGGATACTATCATATGATTTGTCTGAATGACAGCTGAAGCAAGAGTAATTATTTCTAGTCATTATCGTTGGATTTGTGTGTGGGATGGAATACTGCACGGAAGCTCAAGCCGAAGCAAGTGGTTTTCTTAGGGAACCACATACCGAGCCTTTGGTTTAAAGCTCTAATTCATAAAGCAGTGGAGCAACATTAAGAGATGCAGTTCTATGATGGCCGCTGGCCAACATTAGGTTCATATGAAATATGTTCCTTCAAAAAGCTTTACTCACGGAGATGGTAATATGTGTGGTAAGGTGGTGTGGAATTCTCAGGGCCGGCCTCCTATAACCACTTCCGTCCGTTGTGAGAGGGCGCCATCTCTGCAGATGATAGTTGTCCGAGGGAAACACCTTACTGCTATCACAACCCCCCGCAGTCACCGGTACGACTTCACCCTTCGGACTGTAAGTTGCAGCTTTAAGTCTTACCGGTCTCCAACCGACCTGCCTGGTATGTTAGGACCTAAAGGAACATATATCTCAGCCAATAAAGCTCGGTTGAGTCATCATGATAGACAAGCCCGACCAACACGTCAGGGTAGAAGCCACCGTTGGGACTACTATTTACACGAAAAGATGACACATTGGTTACTTTCAGTTCAACTTACCTTTAGCACGACCTTTGAAGCCTTTTGAAGCACCCAGTTGTTGTGCAGCATCGCATGATTCAAACTTGGAAACAGCTCTTGGAGATGAAAGGCTAACAGACGTATCAAGTAAATTTGGAGAAACAGGTGGAACTGAAGGGACAAGACGAGCTGATATTGGAGTGCTAGGTAAGCTTGCGGCAGACGTCCCACTACCTCCTGCACTAGAACCTACAGTAACGCCAACAAAAGCTTGGCCTGTGATACTAATAAGAGGACTACGATTGGGCTGACTTGCTTTTGATGAAATAACAGCTGGTCCTCTGGTTTCATTCAATATGGTAGGGACAGATGTATTTTGACTAGGTTTGTTGGTTCCACGACAGGTACTGGTCAACTTGATCGTAAACTAAACGATGATTAAAAAGAAACCAACTTAAAAAGAAATTTGGGAACACAAACAAGAAAGAGGCAATTTCGCCGAGTAAAAATAGAAATTTTATAGTCTTTCATCTGCTGATCTCAAGGATATTACTATTCTTCATTTAGTTGTTCGCTTTTTGTAGTAAAAATTAATGACGAAATATTTTCACTGTTTGGCACATCCGCAGAGCTTTATTGATTAGGGAACGGACGAAGACAAACAATTCACTTTGTTTTATACCTGATTATACATGAAACAGAACATAATTCAGTGTGAGCAGAATACAGAAGTCAAAAAACAAATGATCAGAAACATGTAATTAGTTTTGTACTTGCATTATAACCAGTTGTATAAGTGTGAGCTTCTTTAGTAAGATTCGTTATCAGGGTAATTTTTATTGACTCTGACCCTATTTTACATATTTTAATGTACAAGTTGTTTGATACAATCTATACAACCACATGTAAAAGTTTGCGGAAAAATAGGTTTTACTACCAGCTAGTGTCTAGAGAAACGTATAACTTGCTGGGTAAACCGCCAATGAAGCCATCTAAGAAAACGGCTAAAAACACATCAGGTGGTGTGCTAAAAATGGTTGGTGAATTAGTGTGAATTTTCCTTCAATGGAACTAACTGTACAGGAATGTTACCTAACAGAACGGCCGACCTTGATCTTCTTGGTCTAGATATGTTAGACAAACTTGAAATAATGGATGTACCAATTAACAGTGTCTCTAACGTATCGTGTTCATCATTGGACACCCCAATACTTCCAAAGACAGGTGAAAGGTTACTAGAAAAACAAAAAAGAAAGTTTGCCTCTGTTTTTCGGAATAGCCTTGGCCACTGTACCAAGATGAAAGCGCACTTATCAGTGAAACCTGATGCCAAACCTATTTTTCGCCCGAGACGTCCTGTACCATATGCTGCTCTTGAGCTAGTCGACCAGGAACTTAATCGCCTGCCACAGGCTGGTGTAATCCGACCAGTTAT